AGGTCTGAAGCCCAAAGAAAAAACCCCGATACGAGTAACAACTAACTAACAAAAGAGCTCAATACAACCGTAGAGCAGACCTAGATACACCTAGTGAGCCAGACAAACCTACCTAGGTTTCACCTAAACGGATCGTCAGGGAAAGTAAGGCTCTATATACTCTACTAAATTCAATATATCCAATTCAATCATTCGTAATAACTTCTCCCTGCTAACTAAAGTATTGCAGAAAACTAACATTTAAATCTACCTTCGAGGATGGTATGTACACCAGAAACAATATTTATGCTGGTCACACTACGACTACGCTGTCTCGGAAGATGAGTTTTCACTTGAATTATGCGTCTAACATTTCTAAACACAAATGCACACACATAATTAAAGGCAAAGCACTTCGGTAAAACGAATTCGAACACTCTAGCTGACTGGCGTTTGTTTACATTCGTAAAACAATACGCTAGAATTAGCAGTTTCTCTCTGCCGAGTTAAGGTAGCTTCCGACTGACTCCAAATCGGTCGGGTTTCGATCCTGGCTTTCGGACGTCTAGTCATTGTGAGGAGCTGTGATACAGCGAAACAATACTCTCTACGAATGACACACACGCACATGCACACACACACACACACACACACACACACACACACACACACCCCCCACACACACACCCACATATATATATATATATATATATATATATATATATATATATATATAATGGTCACTTGGTAGTCAAGTATACCCGTCTATTAGGGCGTCTAGTGAATCCCTAATTCAGACGCATGTTCAGGCACATTTTGTGTTTGTTCAACACCTACAGAACCAACCTCTGTTTTATACTGCAGCTATGCAGAACAGACCTTAGTTACAGTTTCTGGGAGATAGCGTGTCATGTATATCGTCAGCATTTTTATAGTTGATGTTATCGAGTATTGACTTACTTTTTTATTATTAGTGCTTACTTTATTTGGATGCTTTTTTACATGTGAATTAGGCTATTAAACTTGCATTTTCTAATAGTTTGTTGCAGATGAAGTTTGGTTGGACAATTTTTACAATATATGTACAGAAAAATATATAAACACAGGAAAATTTAAATTAATCGCAGTAACTTGTCATTTGTATTTAATTAAACTTTATTTAATATATACATATATATATATATATATTTAATAAATATATAGTTTAATATTTTATTAAAATATATTTTATTTAATTAAACTTTATTTATATATATATATATATATATATATATATATATATATATATATATTTGATTTTATAAGCTGTAGTGGATATTAATTTTGTCAAATTTTCTCAATTACACAGCGGCCCTTTCAGTAAATGTCCTTCAATTTTAGTTTCCCCGCCCCATCTCTCTCCCCCACCTCTTCTTTCCTTTTCTCTCCCTCCCTCTTACTCTGATCTTTAACATTAGATCGTCTATGGTGTGTATGTCACCACGAAATGTATCTTTAATGTATTAGACATCCGACAACATTCATATTTCCCCCTTCCACTCACCTCTAGTAAAAAAACCCTCTCTCGTCTGTTACCCCTCTCTTTAACTCTAACATTCGTCTCACACTCTCATACTTACACTCTCTCTAAATTCTATTTTTATTTCCGGAGTTGTTCTTTTCTGTTTTCTTTTTGAATTTGTAGGTCTGATGAATTGGATCGTATTTACGATTCCAATGGAATAAATTATGACCATGGAATATTAGTATTTAAGCCTTTTTATTATATCCTTACTCTGTCCTGGACATTGAGTTCTACCTGGATTCTATCCTCTTGGAATTTTTTATTTAAAAAATATACATGTATGTGTATGCACCTATGTATATATATTTATATATTTTGCATATGTATGTGTGTATTTACCACTAATATTATATATATATTTTGCTTCTATGTAAGTGGCATGTCGTGTTCTTACTGAGAAGGTTTGCCTCGGCGGGACCAGGGAATGTAGTTTGTCCCAACCTTTTCGTAGCGGTAGAGCAGTGAGTAGCTTGTATCATGCTGCCTGTGGAAGTGTGGAGAATAGTTCGCTATACACAAGGGCTCGGAGACGCTTTTGAACTCTATCAAGGTAGCTCCTGTCCAAATATGACAACAGTACTCCTCTTATGGCCTAATCTGGCTCTTGTAAAAGTATAGGATAGCAGGAAGGATGGAGTACTTACTGGAGTGTTACAGGGAGCCAAACATCTTACTTGCATCCTTAGCAATGGATAGTATGAACGAGTTCCACTTGAGGTCGGGTGTGAGTTTGCGGTCCAACGCTCATTCTGTGCTCCGTGCTTCTCTTAGAGGACCCCGTTTATCAACATAAAAAACAGGGATAGCAACTCAAATACGCTTAGCCAATAAAATATATACTCACACACACACACACACACACACACACACACACATATATATATATATATATATATATATATATATATATATATATATATATATACGTTCAGCAACATAAGTAATGACTCAGGAAAAATCCATTTAAAAAAAATTGTGGCGAACGCGTGTCAGTATAGACGTAAATACGATCTCGGATCGCCTGCTGAGATGTTTGTCAACATCAGTTGCATACGGGTTTTTTTTCCCGTTAGCAGCAGGACAGCTTGGCATATCTAGATACGGGCCTCTCAGCAAATTGTCAAGATCCGCTTCTTTGTAAGAAGACTCATACCAATAAAAGCAATGGGTAAACAAGCAGTCGGCACCGTGAGCATTTGTGTTCCTAAAGTGGCTGGGCTTTGCGTGACTGTTTTATTTATTTATTTATTCAATTTTATTACCTCCAGTGTCTTTTCCATCTCTGCTTATTACCCCCGTAATTGATAGGAGAACAATCGCTTAAGTGTTTCCTGCAACTACAAAATACTTGTCGGTCATTACAGCAAAAATGACCGTTCTTTATATTTCCGGTGCGAAAATGGGGCTAGAAGATTCGTACATGTCCCAACAATTGATATGTGTTCCATATATGTATAAATTAAAAACGTACATTATCAAAACGATCTCCTGTGGCGAAATTGGTAAGACACGCTTCAGCAATGAGAGTGACTTCCTAGACGGCAAAAGCGATACAGATTTGATTCCTTTTGGAATGTGCAACTTTTCTTTAGAATAGAAAGAAGGGAGGGAAGAAGGAAGAAGAAAGGAAGGGCCTAAGATGGTTGTTTTTGATTTCACTGTTTAAGAAAAGTAAAAAATAATTATAGCAACTCAAACGAATGTACGCACCAAAAAAAAGACGTATATATATATATATATATATATATATATATATATATATATATATATATAATGTCGCTTTTTTAATCATGAAACGAAGAAATAAAATACCTTTAACTTATGCTGAAGGAACAGAAATCGAATATGTCGACGCTTGTACATTCCGCGGTATTTATGTAGATAAGGACATGCATATGCGACTCAGTGTAATCATCCGTTTATAGATTCTATATTTACATTGATGATCAGAATGACTTTCTATTTTTATTTTCATTCCATTCATACTTTATTTCTACATCTACTATAAAACCAATTACATTTTTGTCTTGTTCATTTTCCCATTTTTATTGTTCCCAACGCTTCATAATTTCTTTATTCTTTCTCTTCACAATTCCTTCCTTCCTTTTTTCCTTCCTTCCTTCCTTCCTTCCTTCCTTCCTTCCTTCCTTCCTTCCTTCCTTCCTTTCCGTTTTCTTTCTTTACTTTTCTTTCTTTGTTGTCACTTTTCTTCGTTCTTATTCGTTGAAAAATATCTTTTATTCAATTATTTCTTACCAATTTCTTTCGTCATTCGTCCTAGATTCTTTCTTTCTTTCTTTTTTGAATTTTCCTTCCTTTCTTAGTTGTTTTACGCTTTTAAAAACTTTCTTTATTTTTCCCTGACAATTTTTTCATTCTATCTTATTGTACTTAATTCTTGCCAAATTTTCGATTCGCTTGCTACACTTTCTTCATAATAAAATAATTCTTCAATCCCACTTTCTTTCTTTTTTCGTTCTTCCTTTCAAATTTCGAGTTTAATTCTTCATAACTCGTGCTTTCTTTTTCTTTCTTTCTTTCTTTCTTTCTTTCTTTCTTTCTTTCTGTCAAATTCTCATGTAAATTCGTAATAATTTTTCTTTTTTCACTTTCCATGTAAATTATTCGTAATCTTTCATTCTTTTTCTTTCTTTATTCTTCTTCTTTCTTTCTTTTTATCTTTCAGTCTTTCTTCCTGTCAAATTTCATGTAAATTCTTCATAATCTTTCTTTCTTTTTAATCATTCCCTGAAAATTCATCATAATCTTCTTTCTTTCTTTCTTTCTTTCTTTCTTTCTTTCTTTCTTCCTTTCTTTCTTTTTTTTCCTTTCCTTTCTTTCATTGTTAAGTAATTGACAAGTTCATTTTTAATATTCTGGAATGTCGGAATATATTCATAGGGAGCAATCGATCCTTCACCTTTGCTATATTTTACCAAATAACCGAACGAGATCGAGAAAAAGGTGGGTGAGGGGGAAATGAACGGGAATATCGTACAAGGCGGAAACGGAGGGGTATAGGCAGCGGTAACATGTAAGGTGGAACGTGGGGTATGACGCGACACTGGAATTAAAAGTCAGATCGGACGGTGGTCGGTAATTGTATTCTGTTCACATTTTCATATAGATATATCTCGGTACACACACACACACACACACACACACACACACACACATATATATATATATATATATATATATATATATATATATATATATATATATATATGTATGGACACATGAGAACATACATCTTTCTAAATGTATACATGTAAATACATACATTTGTACAGGTAGACATAAAATCATCCTTCCTGACAATATATATATATATATATATATATATATATATATATATATATATATATATATATATGTCTACGTATGCTTCATATAATATGTAGATATAGTAGGTCGATGTAAGGAATTTAGGCACACTGAATTAATACTGTTTCCACAGAAAGCCTCCACAAACCCTCTACAAACCGAACCAGGGCAAACATCTAGCGAAGAAACTACTAGATCTTATCATTAGTAGAACACATGCGAAAAAAATCCCCACCTCAAAAATTGCACATTCATTTTTTTTATTTCTCGTTGTGTAAGGACATAGTTGTCCCGGAAAATATTTAGATTGTTAACATCTTTTCTCGCCCTAATTTCCTTTTGGTCAAAAGGCCGACTAACATACAATAAATATTATTAGTCTTTTTATAAATATTATCATTTTCGTTTTTATCACGCTAGTTTCTTTGATCGGCTGAATATATCTACTATCTATCTATCTATCTATCTATATATATATATATATATATATATATATATATATATATATATATACGCACACACACTCTCACACATATATATGTATGTATGTATGCATATTCAGTTGTATGGATATGAGTTTGTGACCCTGCGTTTCACGTTTTGCGATCATCAGACAAACTGGTTTATTTTTTTTTTAATTTGTATCTATTCATGCTTGTTTGTCTGTGTTTGGTGGTATGAGTGAGTAAAAGCGTCAAGAACATCCCTACCCGCTCCTTGTTGAAAGGAATACCGCTACACATAATAAGCCAAGTTCCCGACACCGAAATAGAATTAAAATTGCGTAGAAGAAGAAGAAGAAGAAGAAGAAGAAGAAGAAGAAGAAGAAGACGGGGGAAGTAAAATAAAGCAAGTGTTTTTTAAATGTATTGGTGTAGGTTAAATTATTTTTTTTTATTCATCCTTATATGCACTTAAGGAACATTTTCAGATAACAAAACAAGGACTTAAGACTTCGGATTTCTGGTTTAATAAGTTTTTGGGATCTGGAAATGTCATAATCGCTAATTTTTCCTGTTGGCAGAGGTTGCAAATATTCTTGTGATTGTTGTACAGTTTTGCCCTCTTTTTTTTTTTTCTTTCGCATTCCACACATGGTTAGGTAGTTTCGTAGAGTACCTAAGATTTGCTAGCTTAAATGATGACCTATGATTGTACCATCTACGTTTAAAACTATCCCCAGTTCATCCTATGTACGTTTTATTTTGTCCATCAATATCCTTTGCTTCTGCTTTATAAATTATAGCTCCTGTTTTACAAGCTCCATTTAATGAACTTTTTTCTTATTTCTACAGTTTCGTAAATTACTAGTATTATTTTGCTGAACGTTAGTTTTGAGATTTCTGACGTTTTATATATTTATTATTATTATTTCTAAATTAGTAGTGCAGTTGTAGCTTAACTTAACTGTGTTTTTATTGAATATCTTGTGTAATTCTGAATTTTTTACGAAATGTTTAGTAAGCAACTTCAAAAATAATTTAGCTATTTTACATTTTACCTCTAAGTTAAAAGAGGGGTTAAACCAAATGATATTTTTTTCTTTTCCTCGAATTGTTCTTCGTATGTTGTTTAATTTGTCGAAGTTTAAATTCTATGTTTTGTGAGCCTCTACCTTTAAGTTCTTCGCATATTCTTTCTGTTTATCCTCAAAAATTATTCTACTAGAAGAGTTTCTGGATAACCTAAAGTGTATTCCTTTAAGGATTTGCTTTATTATGTTTGCAGGGTGGTTGGATATAATATTCAGATATTTTAATTTTGATTTATCACGACCAAAGTAAGGAGTAAGGATTTATTTTGTTGCACGGGTTTATATACAAGAGCAATGATATCATTATTTGCAAAAGCTTTTAAATTTCAAAACGTTTCACCTTTTGTTCTTTTTATTTATATATATATATATATATATATATATGACTATCTATCTATCTATCTATCTATCTATCTATCTATCTATCTATATATATATATATATATATATATATATATATATATCAGACCTACAAATTCAAAAAGCTTTTTTGATTTTATAGGTCTGAAGATTTGAATCGTGATTACGATTTCAATGTAATAATTTATAACATTGGATTATTAGTGTTTGAGCCTTTTATATTATAATCTTGCTCTGTGCTGGACATTGAGTTCTACCTGGATTCTATCCTCTTGGGAATGTATACATACATACATACACACACACACACACACACAAATATATATATATATATATATATATATATATTTATTTTGACCATTAATATTATCAATATCTATCTATCTATCTATCTATCTATCTATCTATCTATCTATCTATCTATCTATCTATATATATCTATCTATATATATATATATATCAGTGTGTTTTTATTTCCAAAAATAAAAATACTTTTGTAGACAAGGAACTTAGAAGGAAAATCTTTGGGAGTGCCGTTATCGAATCTTACCAAAATATAAATCTGCACACCAGATTTTTTCGAGTATCTCCTCACCTAAACGTCTTGCTCTTTTAAGCATAGCCAAAAAATGTTAAGAAATTAAAAGAATTCCAAACATTATATTATTTAAATTTTATAAATAAATTCATAAATCAAACTAAAATAAAATAGATAAATATATTATAAATACTTTTGTACGTACCACAGTATGGCATTTAACGTTAGTTGGTTGACTGCTTTTATTTGACGGCATATCAACCTCTATGCGTCATTTAATACCGACACTTGAAATATAAATATTTATTACATAATTTTATACTTTTAACCACAGATATTTTCTAGATAATTTTATACATTTAGCGTAAAGGTATGTGTTTCTAGATATATAGTTTGTTGTATATAAAATGTGTTATCGGTAATTTTACTATGCAAATTTATTATGTAAATTTATTTTTGTGTTGCACTCATTGACATTTTGTTATAAAAGTGTATTTCTGGTTACTTTATTATAAAAATGCACTGTTGATAAATTAATTTCTTCAATAAAAATAATATGAATAATATTTACCTTATAATAAAAAACTTCAACAACAACTTTTACTCACTTTCGTTAATTAGAGATGAAATTTAATCACTTGGTCTCCTCCATAATTTACCTTTATTTTCACTTAGCCTGATGAATATTCATGAGCGTACTTATATTTGAAAATTCTGAAAAATATAAAAAATGATAGCTCCTCACCCAAGAATTATGGACAGAAAATACGGTAGCTCTTAACCAGGTGAAAATAAGTTTGGTAAAGGTTAGCTAATTATAATATATTCATTTAATAATGTTCGTATTGTAACCGATATTAGCGCCTAAAGAGCGATTTTGCTATTTGCTCTCATACAAAGGCATGAATCCGTATATTGAATAAATAGTAGTGTAGATTGGGTTATCTAGCTTTGGTTGACAGTTTAAGAGAACGAAAACGCTTAATTCCAAAATGTTGAGAAGACAACGAGAAACCATTCCATTATTTTTCTCAAGATTGCGTAGAACTTCACGAATAATAAGCATTTGTGGAGATACATGATACAGACGGAATATAAATATATATATATATATATATATATATATATATATATATATATATATATATATATAGATATATATATATATATATATATATATATATATATATATATATATACATATATATATATATATATATATATATATATATATATATATATATATATATACTGAATATATATATATATATATATATATATATATATATATATATATATATATATATATATATATATATATATATATATATATATATATATATATATATAGGTTGACAATCCATTATCCGAAATTCTTAGGCCTGAAGTGCTTCGATTTACAGATTTTTGAAATACAGGCTATTTAATTTGTATATAGCATCTATAAAATAAGACAGCTTGGGAATTGAACCCCAGCATAAACACAATATCACTTTACATTTCATAACACAGTTTATACATCTACCGTGAAGATAGTTTTGTATAAAATTCAATAAATTTTGTGTACATATATATACAGGTAATGCCGCAAGTCATTTAATACTCCCACGGATATTTAAGTGGTGAAATTAACATTTCACGTAAAAATAATGTTTTGTACTTTCTGTAAAAATGCACAAAAAAATATGATCACTACATACAAATATATATATATATATATATATATATATATATATATATATATATATATATATATATATATATATGTGTGTGTGTGTGTGTGTAAACACAAACACTACTTCTACATCAGTAGTGAGAAACTGAGAGACAGACACATGTGTGCATGTGTATGTGTATATATATTTATATATAGAGCCGTATATATGTATATATATATATATATATATATATATATATATATCGTCATTTACAGACACAGACAGATTGTTTCACTGTATCACAGCTCACTATTGTGGTTAGACATCCGATCGCCCTCAAGCCGGGGCCAAAACCCGACCGATATGGCATCAAAAGGAGATTCTAACCCCTAGAGTATTGGCGCCCGGCAAAAGGCTATTTGCGTATATATCTTTTCATAAACACGCACGCATACACACACGCGCGCACACACACGCACACACACACATACGTTTGTTTGTGTGTGTGCTTTTGCATCTGCGTGAATGTATGACTGCAACCATATACGTACAAATTCCAAAAAGCAATAAAAAATTAATTATAAACCTAACCTCTGATAAATAACACCCTAATACTTAAGATACCACCAAATCAAACAAGAAAAATGAAATAATTTCAACGTGAAGATATATATAAATATTTGCCTGATTATACAAGATAATTTTTCTCTCCATAATCTATCTTACATAGCTATAAGTCTACCATCCGTTCATTATTACGGTATTTACTTCCTTGCTCGGGTTTGATAACGATTTAAAGAATAGAAGGCCTTGTATCTGGGAAATCATTGTTATACTCAGAAATTGTTAATGCAATATCCACTTGCAAAACAAAACAAAACAAAAAAAAAACGAATTAGTCTTACAATCTAAAAACTGTTTCGTCTTTAAATAAATGAGTCGATGAATCAATCTGGGTGTCGGCACAACAGTAAGATACAGATAAAAATACACAAAAACACGTATTAAACTAACTCACACACACACACACACACACACACACACACACACATATATATATATATATATATATATATATATATATATATATATATATAATGTTAAATAACCGACAACGAATGTCTATTATGTTTGATCATGAACAGTTCTAAACTTAGTGTAGTTGCTTTAATTTCGGTAGAAAATAGAGACAAAAATTGTCCAAAATTTGGATAAGATTTTATTATGCTGTTTCATTGATCTAAGCTTTCGGCTCACATGAGCCATCTTCAGAGTGGTTATATGGAGATATAAACAAAGATATTTAACATCAAAGATGATATTCTCTTATGTTGACATACAAAAATAACGCTCGCGGAATAGCTTAGATTAAGCAACAGCATAATAAGAATATCCTAATGTCAGACAATTCTTGTGTTTAATTTTCTCACGAAATTAAAGCAACTATACGATGTTTAGAACGGTTCATTATAAAACATATAAGGCGTTCGTTGTCTGCTATATTTAACAATATATGTTTGAATGATGGTCTCCTGCTCCAAAACACTATCTATCTATCTATCTATCTATCTATCTATCTATATATATATATATATATATATATATATATAAATATATGAACAGAAGATCAATTATGATTCAATATGGGTAGGAATGCAACAAAATGATAGGATAAAGAACAAGTCGGAAACACGTATCTAATCAATAAGAACACAAACATAACATTAATCTGCGTTTCTTTGCTTTTTATCATTGTTTATCATTTCTATCTTGATCTTTGACGAAGCTTTAATAAAGTGAAACATCTTAGACTGAGATATGTTTCCTACTTGTTCTTTAGCCTATCTCTCCCTCACACACACGCATACACACACACACATATATATATATAAGTGGACACTGAGGTCAACATCAATCACCGTTTGTTGTTGAGTTCAGCGTCCACTTTTATATTTACATACGCTATAGCTGTGATATTGAGCACTTTTACCCCATAAATTTCTTAAAAATATATTTCTATTATATACGCAGTAACTATTCATTAAAACAAGTTTTAATAATCTCAACCGACAATGAATGTTTCTTTTATTTTTTTATTGTATTTTTATAATTTTTGAATAAGATATTGCATATCAAGATCGATTTTTTTTATAAAATGTCCGAATTTTATATTTGTTCTGTAATTTTGCTCAAATACTGTCTGAGTCATTATGTAGAACTATGTGGTGCTTGTGTGGCAGTCAGGATTTTCCTTCTGTATTTCATAGGCAGCTGAAATTATATTGCCCCGTAAATAAAGGTTTAAGCATCGTCATAACGTATCATCCCTCTGCTTTTCTACAGTTGTTTTCATGGGAAGTTCAAAAATTTAAGCGTAGTACTAGATTGGCAGTTAGGTCTCATTATTTTACAGTTGAAATTGCTAGACGCAACCGTAACTTCTATACTGATCTTTTCTTCTCGCGCACTTCTCGCTTATGGAACTCTCTTCCGGTTAGTTGCTTTCCAGTCTGTTTTGATCTTCAGAAATTTGTCAATCGTTATCTTCTGTCTTCTTAATTTCTGCTCTTTTATTGTTCTCTCATCTTAACATTGTTCTCCTTTTTCTCATATATATTCACACTCGGTAAGTCCTTGGATCTTAGGGGCTTTGTTGGCTTGCTTGAGGTGAAATGATTAAAAAGAAAGCAAGTTACCTTACCGTGAATCAGGTCTTTCTTATAATCTCATGCCAGTACACACACTTATGAATAAGCAATCGATCTATTCACAAATTGATAGACGAAAGAAAATGGATATAAAGAACAATGAAAAGCAAAATGGCCGCCTTGTTGTCAAATTACGAGGAAGCCTATTAAAGTTGCGAAATTGAATAAGCGTGATTGTCTTCTTCATATTCCGACTCACTTTTTAAACATGTTGCGACTGAGTTGAATACAAGATGTCTAAGGAAGAAAGAAAAATATGAAATGGCAAAAAATGAAATATATTTTGCAGCCATGAGTTGGGGCCAATTTTAGTGCGTTTTCTCCGAGATAAACAATGGCGGTTGGGCATTTTTCGGATTGCTTCGTCGATGTGATTATCGAATTGTCCCGGCCACTCGCCGATCCTTTCCAGAAGTGAGTGGAATATCCAAATGCGTTGGGGTCACTGATAATCTGACCTTAATATAAAAAAGAAAGTGAAAATGAAAAAACAAAAACAAAAAAAGCGAATGAATTATGTCCACCCACGCCAAAAGAATAAAATATTGTTGAGAATAAGAATAATAGAATGAATAGATATTTAAAGAATATCCGACAGAAGAGAGAGAAAGAAAGGAATAATATTGAGACGCTAAAGAGTCATAGAATAATGAAGAAAAAGAAGTCATAGAAGAAGAAGAAGAAGTCATAGAAGGAGAAGTCACAGAAGAAGTCATAGAAGAAAAAGAAGAAAAAAGTCATAGAAGAAGAAGTCATAGAAGAAGAAGTCATAAAAGAAGAAGAGGAAGAAGACAAAGATGACGAATTCATAGGAGAAGTCATAGAAGAAAAAGGAGTCATAGAAGAAAAAGTCATAGAAGAAAAAGTCATAAAAGCAAATGAAGAAGAAAAAAGGAGTCATAAAAGTAGAAGAAAAAGAAATTTTAGAAGATGAAGAAGAATACGTCAATGAAGAAGATAAATTTATTAAAAAAAAGAAAAGATGAAGTCGTCGTCGTCAAAGGGGAAGAAGTCATAGAAGAAAAAGAAGAAAAAAGAAGTCATAAAAGAAGAAGAAGAAGAAGAAGAAGATGAGGAAGTAGAAGAAGAATTCATAGGAGAAGAAGTCATAGAAGAAAAAAGCAGAAGAAAAAAAAGAAGTCATAGAAGAAGAAAAATAAGTCAGAGAAGGAGAAGTCATAAAAGCAAAGGAAGAAGAAGAAGAAGAAGAAGAAGAAGAAGAAGAAGAAGAAGAAGAAGAAGAAGAAACCATAGAAAAAGAAGGCGAAGTCCTAGAAAAAGACGGAGAAGAATCATGGAAGAAAAGTTCATGGGAAAATAATAAAAAGCAGAACAAGAAGAAAAAGATGTCGCGGAAGAAGCCATAAGAGATAAAGAAGATGAAAAAGAGTAAGTCATAAAAAAAGAAGAATGAGAAATTATGGAAGAAGTGATCATGGAATAATAATAATAATAATAATAATAACAATAATAATAATAATAATAGAAGAAGAAGAAGAAGAAGAAGAAGAAGAAGAAGAAGAAGAAGAAGAAGAAGAAGAAGAAGAAGAAGAAGGACAAGGAACCACAGAATAAGATGTCATACAAGAATATGATGAAGTTATAGAACAAGAAAAAGCAGAAGTAGATGAAGAAGCATTAGAAGAAAAAGTTTTGGGAAATGAATAATTCAAATAATGAGATGGAAAAAAGAAGATGAAGAAGAAGCATTAGGTGAAAGAGAAGGACAACGATAACGAAATAATGTAAAAAGATAATATAAAGAAAGGAAATAACATCAAAATATATTGAAGATTTGAAGAAATTGGGAAGCTGATGCCGATTTAGACAATAGTAAATGAAATGGGAAAACAGAGAAGTCAAATAAGAAGGAAGCAATGAAAATAAACAAGAGAGAGAGAGAGAGAGAGAGAGGAAGACAGAGATAGAAAGAGGAATAAAGAAAGAAAAGAAAAAGGAAAGAAGAAAGAAAGAGAAAATAAAATAAAAATGTGAATGAAGTAAAGTGGAATGAAAAAAATAAAGAAATACCAAAGAAAGAAAAATAAATAAACAAAAGAAAAAAAAAACGAAAAATAAACAAAAGGTAAACAAAACTATAAGAATAAAAAAAGGGAAAGATGGAAAACGTCGAAAAAAATAGGAAGGAAAAAAGATGGATGATAAGGGAAAGCGGAAGGAAAAGTCTTTAAAAGCCAGAAAAGAAAGAAATGAAAGAGAAAATTTCGACATTTCATCATTCCTTCTTTTTAGTAGGAATGGTGAACTGTCGAAAAGAAGAAGACAAGAAGAAAAAGATGATTAAGAAAAAGGGAATATCAAAAAGAAAGACAGACTAAGAGAGGGGACACCCAGAAACTATTGAAGAAAAGAAAGAAGAAAATAAAAAATGGGCTTTGTAAATTATTATAAATAATAATAATAAGAAGAAGAAGAAGAAGAAGAAGAAGAAAAAGAAGAAGAAGAAGAAGAAGAAGGAGGAGGAGGAGGAGGAGGGGGAGGAATGGAACAAGAAAAAATATAAAGTCTTGGGGATGTTGAAGTAATATAAAAAATAGAAAGAAACCAAAAAAAGGAGATAACATAATGATACTAATAATAAAAATAATAAGAAGGAAAGAAATAAAAAAGGAAGAAGTCATAGTTAAACATGGGGCTATATAAGCATAAAGAATAGAAATAATAATAATAATAATAATAATAATACGAAGAAGAAGAAGAAAGAGGAGGAGGGGAGGAGGAGTAGGAGAAGGAGAAGCAGGTGAAAAGTAAAGTAACACCAATGACATGAATGAAGGAATAAACGAAAGAGAGAATCGAATTTACGAAAATTTGGGTAGACGTTAAACAGAAGCGAAAAGCGTGCATGAAAATGTATGTTGAAATATGAGTGATGCTAAATACAAAAACCTAAAGGAATCGATAGAAATATGGCAAAATTAGATGAAAAGAAAAGAGAGCAACAACGGAAAGCCAAAGAAAAGTAATGGAAAGATTTGGAAATAACAATAATAATAATAATAATAATAATAATAATAATATCAGCCAAATAATAACAAGACGAAAACGACGCCTTATTACCGCTTGTTTCTCATCACATCGTCAAATCACTACGCACCACGGCGATCCCGCCATAACCGCCGAGTTTATTTTTCCGCCTCTCCCCAACTTCCCTCCAAACTCCTCATCACCAAACTCATCCTACACCCTTAAAATTTCTCCAACCCTATCGACTCTAGCGCCATTTTTGTCTGTTTTTTTTTAACCATTTTTCTTCCGCCGCCACCGCCACAGCCACCTTTCTTTTTCTAGCACTCGCAGAGGATAAAATTAATTGAAAAGGCCGGATAAAACGTGGAAGAAAATTAATATGCTTTAATATGCGGCAATGCGAGTGGAGGATGTTGGCAGTCTGCGTGCGGGAAGACGTTTTTTTATGATGCCACTCTATATGCAGATGACACCCGATGCACAAATGGAGGGCCGAATAGTATTTTGGGCACGAGTCCGTCAATTCCTCACTTTTTGGCTTTTTTTTTTTTTTTTCATTTTATCGGTATTTTTGATTTTTGTTTTTTTTGTTTTGTTTTTTTTTGTTTACATTTATTTTTTCTATCTATATTTTTCTTTTCTTTTTTATTTTGATTCGTTCTGATTTACTTCCATAACTTTGATTTTCGCTTCTTTTACGTCTTATTCGTCATTTATATTCCTTTCTTTCTTTCTTTCTTTCTTTCTTTCTTTCTTTCTTTCTTTCTTTCTTTATTTTTTCTTTATTTCTAAATTCCTCTGGCTTTCTTCTTCCTTTCTGTTTTCTTCATTACTTCCTCTCTTTTTTCTTCATTTTCTTCCTTACTCAGTTACATGCTTTTCCTTTTTTCTTATTATTTTTTCCTTTCTTTTTCCTTTCTTCTTTTTCCTTTCTTTCTTTTTTATTTTCTTCCTTTCTTTTTTCCTTATCATTTGCTCTTCCTTTTTTCTTATATGTTTGCTTTCTTTTTCTTATATGTTTGCTTTCTTTTCTTTAATTTTTCTTTTTTCTTTGCTTTTTCTTTCTTTTATTATTATTTCATTTCTTTTCTCGTATTTCTTTTCTTCCTTTCGCTCTTTCTTTGTTACTTTATCTTTTTTTCCTTCTTTCTTTCTTTCATTTATTTTTCTTTCTTTTGTCTTCCGTTCATTTTTCTTTTTATTTGCTTTTTCTTTTTGTCTTCAGTTCTTTTACTTTTTTTTATTGTTTCTTTCTTTCTTTTTATTTTCTGAATTTCTTTTTTTTTATTACTTCCTCTTTATTTCTTTTTTCTTCCTTTTATTTTGTTTATTACTTCCTCTTACTTTTTTTGTTTGTTACTTCCTATTTTTTTCTTTTTTCTTTTTCTTTTTGTCTATTACTTATTCTTTCTTTCTTTCTTTCTTTTTGTGTATTACTTACGCTTTCTTTCTTTTTTCTTTCTTATGGTTTATTACTTCCTCTTTCTTTATTCTTCCTGTCTTTTTGTTTATTACTTCCTCTTTCTTTCTTTCTTTTTTTTACTTCCTCTTTTTTCTTCCATTTGTTTATTACTTCGTCTTTCTTTCTTTTTTCTTTCTTTCTTTTTGCATATTATTTCTCATTTCTTTGTTTCTATTTTCTTTATTTTTTTTGCATATTACTTCCTATTTCTTTCTTTTTGGTTGTTACTTCCTCTTACTTTCTTTTTTTTCTTTCTTTCTTTTTGTTTGTTACTTTCTCTTACTTTCTTTTTTTCTTTCTTTCTTTTTGTTTATTACTTGCTCTTTCTTTCTTTTTTTTTTTCTTTCTTTTTTGTTTGTTACTTTCTCTTACTTTCTTTTTTTTCTTTCTTTCTTTTTGTTTATTACTTCCTCTTTCTTTTTGTTTGTTACTTCATATTTTTTCTTTTTTCTTTCTTTCTTTTTATTTATTACTTCCTCTTTCTTTCTTTCTTTCTTTTTTTTCTTTCTTTCTATCTTTCCTTTGTCTTTGTTAATCGCTTTTTATTTATTTTATATTTATTTCACGCTTTTTTTAACAATATCTTCTTTTTTTTTCATAATTTTTTCTTTCTTTCTTTATTCCTTCCTTCCGTTATAAATTTTTTTTTCCGCCTCCTTTTTTTCTTATTTTTTTCCCCACCTCCAGACTATGTGTTTTCCTTTCATTGGATATTTATTTCCATTCATTCCGTCCTTCCTTACTTGTTTCCTTGCTCTCTTCTTTCCTTCTTAACTCCCTTCCTTCCTTTTTCCGCCCTTCCTAGCTATCTGCCTCTTTCCCTTCCTTCCTACATTCTTTTTCCCTCCCTCCTTTCCTTCCTTCCATCCCCTCTCTCCCACCCTCTCTTCCTCCTTTCCGTCCTTCCTCTCATCCTGCACACTTCCCTGTATTCCTTCCTTCCTTCCTTCCTCCCCCTCCCTCCCTTTGTCACTTCATTCCCCCTTCCGTCCCTCTTACTCTTCTTATTTCTTTACTTCAACCCACCCTACCTTCATTGCTTCTCCCTTCCTCCTTCCTTTCTGTCTTCTTTCCTTCTTTCTTCCCTTTCTCATTTCCTGTATTCCTCCCTTCCTTCTCTTCCCTACCTCTCCCCTTCCTTCCTTCCTTCCTTCCTTCCTTCCTTCCTTCCTTCCTCTTTTCCTTCCTTCGTCCCAACCCTCCTCACATCATTCCTTTCTTCATCCCTACCTACCTACTTTCCTTCCTCTTTCCCTTCTCCTTCCTTCCTTTCCTTCCTCTTCCTTCCCTTCCTTCCTCCTCCCTTTTCCTTCATTCCTCCCTTCCTGCCTTCTTTCCTCCCTTCCTGCCTTCTTTCCTCCCTTCCTTCCCCTACCTAGCCATTCTCCCACCATTCCCCTCACTCCCATCCTCCCTTCCTTCCTTTATTCGTTATTTTATTTTTCTTCATTAGTTCCTTCATTTTATTCATTTGATTCGGAGATTTTTTTTTTCGTCAGTTTTCCTGCTTTTCTTCAATAATTCTTTTTTTTTTATCACCCTCTTTAAGATTTCATGCATTTTTATTTTAGCATTGGTTTTCTTCATAATTCCTCCTCTGTTTTCTGTCTCTTTCTTTTCGATTAAACTGATTTCAGAGTCACACCAACAGGCACAGATACACACACAAACACATATACATCCACAGGCACATTACGTCTTGATGCCACAAACTATTCTTTTCCCGATTTATATTTCTTCATTCTCAAAAATCGATAGAAGTAAATACGGAAAGAATTGTTTAAAAACACCAATATTAATAATATATATACATATGTGTGTGAGTGTGTGCGTGTATACATACATAAACCACTTACCTGTATATACATCAACTTACGAGAAAAGACTCAGGCGATTGAATAATCAATTTAGTTTTGGAAACAAACTACGTGTATCGACATTAGTAGCTATAAACACGTGTCCATACATGCCACATAAATATAGTCATGCATATTTAAAATTATATATATATATATATATATATATATATATATATATATATATATATATATATATATATACAGACTTATATATATATATTGGGTATGTTCATAAAAGTTGTGTTTAAGCAAACAAATACAAAAATTTGAAATATATGGAAAGTGTTTTAAACGAAACATGCATTCCAGAAACTAAGCTGATATTAAGAAAACTACGCTAAAAAACAAAGAAAAGTGTACTGAACTGTTACGTGATTTCTGTCCCACTATATAGCAGTGAATGCTGAACAATTTCCTGAAGGATGAAGAGATTTGAAGCAACAGAAATGTGGTTATACAGAAAGATGCTGAGGATACTATGGATCGAATATGTGAGCAACAACGAAAAAAGAGAAAATTGAAACAAAAAATAAATTTGTACTTAAAATGAGGACGAGATAGTTGAAATTTCTGGGGTACATAATGAGGAAAGAGGGCTTGGAAAATCTGATACTCAAAGGACAGATTAAAGGCACAGGGACAGAAGAAAACAATGCATAACTTACTTAGCGAGCTTGAGTAACTAGATGGCGGAACAGAGTTTAGGTGAAATAACAAAAAGACAAAATTTACTAAGCGGTACAAGAGACAGGAAAATATGGAGATCTATATAGCTTAAGTCTTACGAGGACGCGACACGTAGAGAAGAAGAAATTTTATTTGTTCCTGATCTTTTTTGTTTATTTTTTCGCAACTTCGGAATATTTCTGTTGTTTTTGTGTCGGCTCTATCATTTTTCAAATATCTCGACTTAACGCGTGATATCACATGGTCACATGGCAGTTTCTTGATAGGGTCTTATGAAAGCCGAATTTAATCATTCACTGAAAAATGAAAATTTAAAATTTCACTGGAAATTGTTCGAAATATATATATATATATATATGTGTGTGTGTGTGTGTGTGTGTGTGTGAAGAAATATACTCTTAAGGTGTTCTATATTTAAGGGATAAAGTGCTCAATGTCAGAGATAGAGTGTATATATATATATATATATATATATATATATATATATATATATATATATATATATATATGCATGTTTCATTAAAAACTACACACAGGGTACTACGATTAAACTATTTATTTAATTTTTCTTCTGTTCGTACAAGTGTTTTCTTTTTGGGACAAAGAGTGTGTAAAAACTGTACTAATGACCCTTAAGGTACTGTGTTCCTGATCAAACCGAATTCATAAATAATTACATCGGTCACACAACTACATGCCTATCTAGACGCCTTACTTTACATCTATCTGACCATAACTCTATTAGAACTCATTTAAACTCTCACACAACCTTACCAGATTCCATCCAAAACATACTAATAGAAAATATAAATATAATAACCTCATCCACCTGTAAAAAATGATTAAAAAATAATGGAAGCCCTAATAATAAAAAAGAAAAAGTCAATTCTTAACAATATTAACTACGAACACGGCCACAATGTGTTAACCGTGTTCGGAAATAAAACATCTCTATAACGCTAAAAACATGCACATAACGCATGAACTCAAACAGAAAAAATAAAGAATAGCCGAAAGCGCTCGGAATTATAGAACATTTGGACAGTTTCTACACACTCTCTGTCCAAAAGAGAAAACACTTGTTCGAAGACAAGAAAATTAATTAAAAAACTTAATCGTTGTACCTTGTCTGTTGTTTTTTTTAATGAAACATGCATAAATGAGCGATTGCTGCCTCAGTACACAGTTATATATATATATATATATATATATATATATATATATATATATATTATTTATTAAAAAATATGATTCCAACACACTACATAAAATTTCTCATGTTTCAAAACAAGAGCCGAAAACTTCAATATAATTATTTGAATTAAATTGAATT